CCTCGCGTGCTCCGCAGGTGACGACAGAACGACGGCTGAACTGAATATACGCCTACATAAAATGTCCAGCTGCTTGCGGCAAACCCAGCCAGCGTGCCAGCGTAACAGCGCGGCGTGAAGGAAGGCGAGTCAGAGACCCGCTCCAATTCAGCGCGCGGTCTCGAATCGCGTGGATCTTACACTCGATTTAGTTCGCTCGACTCTTGGGGGCCTCATGGAGGCATGATTGGGGTCGGAGGGAAAGCCTGCCAAAGCCAGCTCGACCCTGGAGGAACAAAGCTGGATCCTGAAGCAATCCCCTTGCGGGCCCCTCTTGGGGCCCTCTTAGGGATCTCTTGGGTCGTATTTTGGGCATCTTGGGCCGTCTTGGGCTCCCCTTTGGGGCCGTCTTGGGAGCCTCTTGGGTCATCTTGGGATTCCAAGTCTTGGGAACACCGCGTTTCTTTGGATCTTGAGGCCCGCGTGGGCGTCTTCTTGAAGTCCTCTATGGACGTCTTGAAAGATTCTTGGGATGGCTTGAGATCATCTTGAGGCCATCTTGGAACGTCTCAAGGCCTTCTTGCGCAGTCTTGGGACCGTCTGGGGAGCCTTTGATGCCGTCTTGTGGCAAGCTTGGCGGTCTTGGGGCGGTTGTCTGGATGCCTTGCAGAAACCTGGACGCAGAAAAGAGCGTCGGAGATAAAATCCAGAGGCGGTGATGTGCTGGGCGCGCGCGCGCTGGATGGGGGGGCATCGGCCGCATGACCCTCACCAGCCAAACCGCAGATGAACATTCCAAAACACGCCCCATCGTGCCGAGGACACGGTGGCGGATACACATTTCAGACATGCCAAGCCGACGCAAATCGCATGCACCAAGGACTCGCTGCTCTGTGCCGCCTCCGGCGGCCCAGGAAGCGCCAGGCCGCAGCCATTTGGGCTCCTGATTGCCTCAACTTCTGCCCGAGCGGGTGAAGACCCTCACCAGTGACCCCAGTCATCACAGGCAGCCCCGCACAGCCTTCAAGGACTGATAACGCCAACCTATTGTTCGCCGAGCCCCGCCTGACACCGCTCGTGTAGACTTCCCTGGACCGTGGCAAGGAGCCGCACGCCGGGAAGCGCTTCCTCAGCTTTTCGCCAGAATGCGCCCTGACGGTTCCGCACGTTACGACTCAATGTGGCTCCGAATGTGCCTCGGACGCACCAAAGAGTTGCCCACGAGATCTCCGATAAGGGTCCCCCAAGAAAGCCCCGAGATCACCGAGCATGGCATCTGGAGGAGTCCAAGACGCCCACGACCCAATATGGCTCCCGCGCACCACGAAATATCTCCAAACGAGTTTCATATGGCCCCATGAACGCCCACGGGGGCAAACGACGGCTCCAAGATGTCCCCACGAGGCCTCCGTAGCCATTTTGGCTCAAGGTCCGTAGCCATTTTGGCTCAAGCCGCCTTGAGTTTGCTACGTGTTTACGCACCCCTCGAGCATGCCACCGCGCAAGCGTGATGTTCCCTTCGTCGATAGTAGTTCGGTGAATTCTGCATTGGGTGCCTTGCGAATCTTGGGGACAAAATTTTGAAATTCGGCATCGACATCGGCCTCGTTTGCTGCCTCTACTCGTTGAGTGTTTTCCCTGAAGCGCGAGGTGGATATTGGCGTCATCTCGCCGCCTTGCAACCCCGAACTGGAGCATCGTCTTCATCAGTTCGGTTCCGCTGCTGCTCTTCAACAATCATTGGAGCAGGATTTCGGCCTCCCACATCGTCATTGCCTTAGTCTTGCCGTTCGTGATGCTCATGCGTGTGGTGAATTTTCGTCCAGTGCCTTTTCGAGCATGGAAGAAATTACGCAAACTGGGAACTCTGCTAGGCATCGAAGGTGGAGGAGCCCATCCCCTTCTGGAGTTTGGCAGAAGGTTGCGGTTTTCACACCTCCGAAGATTAAGCGTCGTCGTCTTTGTCTGGGTAAATTGGTTTCTTCGAGCTTGCCTTCTGGCAAACATGATGGAGTGGCCTTCACATGTATTTTACCAAGTATTGCAATGATGCCCCTCGTTGTCCTGACCTTCGCGCTGTACCTGTCCGCTCGGGGTCGTACCGTCCGTCCACGCCCCGTGCAGCTGATGACAGCATCAAAGCCGAATCCATCCAAGGGAAGATCCACATAGACTATGCTTACGACCACGGAGGTCATCTGTCTACGCTTCGTGCAGCAGTTGACGGTTTCAAGCGTGAAGGTTCTTGTCATGTGCCGGTACGACGGGCCTTTCGTGACCCTGAGCAGGCAGGCCGCGTTGGGCCAGGTTTGCTTATGCCTACGACTCCGAGCACTGATGATGCACCTTTGTCCATTACCCCATCAGCGGATAGCCCCGATCGTGACTGGCCCTCTGATAACAAGATTGGCCAGATGCTGAAGTCTATCACGAGCCTTGGACACCAGCTTTCCGCATCTTGTTCCGATATCTCCCATATCAGGCACCAGTTGTGTACTTCCATTCCCACTGAGAAGGTCGATGGTTTTCAACAGACTGCCCCCTCCGTGGACTCCAGCGGAAGTCAGTCGGGGCTTGCCCCAGAGCAGGATATCTTTTTCAATCTGTAAGGTCCCTGAGCAGCGGACGGCGTCAACAAGTTGATACGTGGCTTCGTTCGTCTGCACAGCACCTGCGCCCGAGCTGCCAAGAAGATCCTACCAACATGATACAGTATATTATCGATGCGAACCCTCTGGGCTTGTTATTCGAGCTCCAGAAACGCCTCGGCAAGAATAATCGAAAGAATGAGTGGATATAACATATATATATATGTCCCCACGAGGCCATAAAACAACCCCAGCGATGACCCAGAGGGCCCGAAGGCCACCCCTGAAAAAACGGGACACGTCCCAGAGTTCCAAAGGCCCCCCCGTCCCAGAATGGATAAGGATGGGGACGACGACGCCGACACCGACGCCGACGCCGATGCCGACGCCGCCGCCTTCGCCGTCGACGACGACGACGACGACGACGACGACTCCGACGCCGACACCGACGGACGGCGACGACGACGACGCTGATAACGACGACGACGAACCTCCTCACACCCACCCTCCACCACGCCACGCCCACGGAACGACCACACGGGGGGGGAACGATCCAATTCGCGAGGCCTTCGCGAGGCTCACAGGCGTACCCATCCAGCGGGGGTCGGAGGGGGGGGGCAACCCTGGATCGTGAATGGCCGCCGCTCGAGAGCCCCACCCTGTGAAATGATGATAAGGTGGTGTTGTTGGAGGAGGAGGAGGAGGAAGAAGAGGGGGAGGTGGATGAATATTTGGAAAAAGACACCCCAGACCACCTGCCCACCCGTCACTTGGTTCTCTCCCGATCTTCTCACACCCATCATTTCGCCTCTCCCCGCCTCCGGCTCTCCCCACCCCGCGCTGCCAGCCCTGCTCGCCGCTAGAGCCCCTGACCACGCCTGCGCCTTGCGAGATACGGGAGCCCGCCTCCCGTGCGATGGGATCTTTCTCGAGTGGCCTAATCACGGCCTTTCAGTTTGTAAGACATTTGCCTCTATCAGGCGTTTGCACCATCCCAGAGGTCGACGTATAAAAAAAATCTTGACCTGCTAGCCCACCACCACCTTCATGCGAGGGCCCCAAATGATTCCCTGCCCGTGAAAGCATCATGCGGTTGCTGTTGTTGATGGTGATGATGATGTTGCTGCTATTGCTGGTGATGGTGATGATGCTGATGTTTGTGACGATGACGACGACGATTGTGATGAATGCGATGATAATGTTGGTGAAAATAACAATTACATCAATGATGACGATGCTAGTGTTGATGATGATGGCGATGACGATGGTGCTGATGATGGTGTATATATTCACATACGAATGATGATGGTGTTGAGGATGCTGATGATATTGATGGTGATAACGATGATGGTTGTGATGAAGATGATGATGAGGATGCTGATGGTGATGATGATGTTGATGCTGATGCTGATGCTGGTGGTGATCTGATGGTGGTGGTGATGCTGCTGACGTTGATGCTGATGTTGGTGATGGTGTTAGTGATGATGATGATGGTTGTGGTATTGTTGATGATGGTGATGATGATGATGATCAGCCTCTTCCTCCTCCTCATCATCATCATGTGGCGGGCCAGACAGTTTGAGGTACTAGGTACGCGGGTCGACGCAGAATGCTGTTTTGTGCCGCAAGCAACGATTTTCGCGTTCGTACGCAACGAGGCCAACTGCGACACCCAACGAAGCACGCGCTATGTATCGTTCTGCCATATGGTTGTAGATTTCCTTCCTCCGTGAATTCGATTGCACGAGTGCTGCAACAGTGCCAACTTTGGCTTCATCGATGATCGCAAACATCCTTGTCCACATCATCCTTGCTCCTCTTCCTCCTCCGTCTTCCTTCTCGTTCTCGCCATTTTCCTCATCGCCGTCAGCTGGTGCCATCATCGTTGCCCTCGTCCCTTCTCATGTATCGTCATTATGATGTTTCTCTTCTCCCTCCTGCTCCTCCCCCCTCTCTCCTCTGTGTCCTCCCACTCGTCCCACATTCTTTCTCCCTGCTCCCTCTCCCGTCCTTCGCCTCTCCACCCCCTCCCTCCTCCCTTTTCGCCTTAGCTGTGGGACGGTGCCCGGAAGGGGGTGGACGTGCTGTTACGCCGCTGCTTTTGTTTGCCATTTAGTTGCGCGCATTTCACACTGGCACTTTCAAGAGCGAAAGAGCCGTTTTTCGAGTCGGCACGCACGATACCCAGTATACTTTAATGCAGTCCTCCTTCGGTGTTCTACCTACGTCTTCCGACCGTAGTGCGGGCCTCCCGGAGGAAGCAAGTGATTCGTTATTATGTATCTGATTTGGGGGATCAAACCAATCCGCCAAGTTCCTGCCTCGTCCTCGCCGTCGTCCTCCTTTGCGTTTCTCCCCCTTGTTTCCGCGGGGAGGACAAGCTCGCAGGGTTGCCTACATATCAGGGCTGGGTCCCGGAGTCCTCTGAGGTGCCTTCTGGCTCACGTCTACGACGACTCGGACTTCAGTGGGCTCGAGATGTGCTGCGCGTGTGGCGGAGGGGACCCTCCAACCAGCAAGGCCGCGCCCCCGTTGCGTGTTGCTGCGCTGACACGAGTTTGTTGCGAACGTTTCTGATTGGTGATCAGGGTCCTCGGAGGAGGAAGGTACCCATACCGCTACCTTTCGACCGTTTTTCTTGTTTGGGGCATCCGGGGAGGCCCTCGTCGCCACCGCTGGATTCGCCTTAAAATTCTGATCGGAACGCACCCCAGGAAAAGGTCTTGGGAGTAGCGGTATCGGTACCTTTGGTTTCCCCATGTCTGATTCTCAGCGTGCTGCGAGATTCGTGGCTCTTTCACATAGCCCGACATAGCCCGACATCGCCCTGCGTGTCAGTTCGCACGATTTCTCGTCGTGCAGGTCCAGTTTTGAGTTGTACCATATTGTTGTGATGAAGTCATGCTGGGCTCTCCGGGACGTCTTGAGCATTCTCAGGTGAATGCTCGCCCTGTCTGACTTAGCGCGGGCCTCAACGACCCCGTTTGTTGCCGCAGCATGTTTCTCTCCCTCTTCATGTTGGAGGCCTCTCGTTGACCTCTTTGCGGCCTCTTGGAGGCTCTATCGGGGGCTCCACGGGGGCTCGTCGGGGAAACCTGCGGGGCCTCGGGGCCGTTATGAGCGCGGCTTTCCGTACCAAGCTCTCTCGACGAGGCTCGGATGAGCCGTTTGGGAGACGTCTGTGCGGGTCCTGGAGCCAGATTGGAGACTTTTTCAGGGCAGCCTTGGGCCGTCCTCGGGGGTTGTCGAGCCATCCTGGACCTGTCTTGTAGAGCTCTGGGCAGTTTCTTAGGCCGCCTTGGGGGTTTTTGAGGCTCGAATACGAGAAACAGTATAAACATAAATGTGTGGAGCTCTGCGCGGCTTTCTCGGATCGGCGCTGGATCCCCCCAGCGGCGCCTACGGCGCCGACCCTGGCGCACTTCGCACGACAGGGAGGAGGGCCCAGCGCCGATCAGAAAAGTTTGCGCGGAGCTCCGAACGTTCATATGTATGAAATTGTTTGTTCATCTATGTTTTCGGATTGTCTCAAATGGCGATCTTTCGCCGACCAGAAATGGAAGCCTCAAACACCGACCGGTGTCAGAATATCAATGCCGTTCGCTTTTTGGTGCCTTCTTGGTGGATAGCTTGTGGAGACGCCTTGGGGACATCCTAGAACCGTTGAGCGTTTGTTGAGCTTCCTCTGCATGGCCTGCTGGCATCTGGCAAACACATTGCGGCTGATTGTGGCCGTCATGGAGGCGTCTGTAGACTGAAACGATCAAACAGTAGCCGAAGCAGGGATGGGGGGGTCATTATCGGACGATTGTTGTGGGTATGTGTCACCCTTTAAAATCTACAGGTGCCTTGCAACACCACCTTTACAAAGTGTTCGGCGGGTCTCCCGTATGTGCTCTGGAGAAGAACGCCGAAGGGAAAGCAGAGAAGGGTGCCAGGGTACCCCCACATTTTCCAAGCACAAGTTTGGCAAGTCAGCAAATCCTGTGTCTCGTCGGCCATCTCAGAGCCCTCTCGCCTCAGTCAAAGTCATGCTGGAACACGCGGGGTTCCCTACAAAATCCGCCCCTTGGGCATTTGTGCCCTTGAAATATTGTTTACGATATTCAGCGCAGAGGACTCGATCGACCCTGAGGAAACTTGATTCCATGCCTTCGGCACGGTGGCGGACATCCAGAGCAAGGAGTTGCAGCGCCAATTGCAGCAGTTCTTACACCAGCTGCTGCAGTTTACTCATGTGCGTCTGCAGCGTGTATTCCAACTCAAGGCGTGTTTCAACAGAGTTATGATCTAAGAGGGGTATACGCCCATGGTGTCTGTACACTTGTTTGTCTATGAATGCGTAGCAAGTTCTGCCGATTCATCGCGGCTGCGATTCCCACACTCCAGCGGGGGGTACACATTCAGGCGGTTGCGAGCCTGCATCTAGTCTTCGATAAACCTTGGACGATGTCGATCGAGTCGCGCTGCAGTGTAGCAGCGAGTGTATACTTACACAGGCCGAACGATGTTCCTCTTCAGCCCCAAATTGCCGCGTGCGTGCAGTCGAGCTTTGGCGCTCGATCAGCAACATGGCACCGGAGGAACTGCACACACACACACACAAACACACATACACATATCTCTCTCTATATATACATGTGTGTGTGTGTTAATACCTCCTTGGAATTTCCATTACTGTTAGCGAAGTCCCCACGCCAAATAATGATACCCAGAAGACCGATACTTGATTCATGCGACAGGGAAACATTCGTCCTGGGGATGTGGTGGTTGGGACCTCTCATACTGTTCACTCTGGGGGATACCACGGTTTGAAGTATTTGGCCCGCCTTCGCAATGCTTTTTCCCAACCAACCTGTGTTGTTGGGTCCTCGTTTTGAGGAGACGGTCCCCGCGTTCCTCCTCCTCCTCCTCCTCCTCCTCCTCCTCCTCCTCCTCCTCCTCCTCCTCCTCCTCCTCTCCTCCCCTCCTCCCCCTCCTCCCTCCTCCTCCTTCCTCCCCCTCTTCCTTGCGTTTCCACCCCCCCATTGCAGTGCGTCCACACACTCAGTACAGCGTTTCGTGGCCCCATAGGGAGCTCCACCGAAGGCCCCAGTGCCACCGTCCACATGCGTCCCCCCCACTCAGTACAGCGTTTCGTGGCCCCATAGGGAGCTCCACCGAAGGCCCCAGTGCCACCGTCCACATGCGCCCCCCCACTCAGTACAGCGTTTCGTGGCCCCATAGGGAGCTCCACCGAAGGCCCCAGTGCCACCGTCCACATGCGTCCCCCCCACTCAGTACAGCGTTTCGTGGCCAGCTCCACCGAAGGCCCCAGTGCCACCGTCCACATGCGTCCCCCCACTCAGTACAGCGCTTCGTGGCCCCATAGGGAGCTCCACCGAAGGCCCCAGTGCCACCGTCCACATGCGTCCCCCCCACTCAGTACAGCGCTTCGTGGCCCCATAGGGAGCTCCACCGAAGGCCCCAGTGCCACCGTCCACATGCGTCCCCCCCACTCAGTACAGCGCTTCGTGGCCCCATAGGGAGCTCCACCGAAGGCCCCAGTGCCACCGTCCACATGCGTCCCCCCCACTCAGTACAGCGCTTCGTGGCCCCATCCACCGAAGGTCCACATGCGTTCAGTACAGCGCTTCGTGGCCCCATAGGGAGCTCCACCGAAGGCCCCAGTGCCACCGTCCACATGCGTCCCCCCCACTCAGTACAGCGTTTCGTGGCCCCATAGGGAGCTCCACCGAAGGCCCCAGTGCCACCGTCCACATGCGTCCCCCCCACTCAGTACAGCGCTTCGTGACCCCATAGGGGGCCCCACCGAAGGTCACAGTGCTACCGTCCACATGCGTCCCCCCCACTCAGTATTGCGATGCGTGGCCACATAGGGAGCTCCACCGAAGCCCCCAGTGGGACCGTCCGGGTGCGTCCTGGAACACCCAATTTGGCATTTTCACTTACCGATTACAGCGTTTCGTGGCCCCACAGGGAGCTCCACCGAAGGCCCCAGTGCCACCGGCCGCATGCGTCCCGCACACCCAATGTGGCATTTTCACCCACCCAGTGCAGCGCTTCGTGGCCCCACAGGGAGCTCCACAGATGGCCCCAGTGGGACCGTCCGCAAGCGTCCCGAAACACCCATTGTGGCATTTTCACCCACCTAGTCCAGAATTACGTTGCCCCGTAGGGAACTCCACCGAAGGCCCCAGTGCCACCGTCCGCATGTGTCCCGAAAACCCAACGTGGCATTTTTACCTACCCAACACAGCGTTTCGTGGCCCTTTAGTGAGCTCCACCGAAGCCCCCAGTGGGACCGTCCGCATGCGCCCCGGAAGCCCAAGTTGGCATTTTCACACACCCAGTACAGCGCTTCGTGGCCCCATAGGGAGTTCCACCGAAGCCTCCAGTGGGACCGTCCGCATGCGTCCCGGAAGCCCAATTTGCCATTTTTATTTACCCAGTGCAGCGTTTCGTGGCCCCGTAGGGAGCTCCACCGAAGCCCCCAGTGGGACCGTCCGCATGCGCTCCGGAAGCCTTACTTGACACACCACTCACGCAGAACAGCGCTCCCCCCCTCCCAGTGCAGCGCTTCGTGGCCCCATAGGGAGTTTCACCGAAGAAGATTTTCACAATTGCGGTACCCACAACTGCATATGGTTGGGTCATTCGCCTGGATAATTCTGATGCTTTTCTCGTTGATGCTTCCGCTCCCGTGCATCAGGAACTGTGGTGGTCAGTCGGCGTCGGCCTCTGCAGTGGACATGAAGATGATTGGACGAAGGCCGATGACCTTGGCGCTAACTGGGGTTCCCTCAGAGGGTACCCTGTGCATTGGGTATGCGTGGTGCCAGCAGCTATTGCTCATGCGCGGTGGACATGGGCGGCGATCATGTTTTTGTGTTGCAGGGTTCATGTGTCTGTCGTCTCGGCTAGGGTCCAGCTGGCAGGAGGCCGTGTGGTAACACAGCAAGGGGGTTTCAAAATCTAGACTTTGTGCGGAGCTCGTATCCGCAATGAAGGGCATTGTGCTTGCACCTCCCGAGTACAGGGCATCGATATTGCCATGCTTCCCGCCACCACCCCCAGGCCTGGCTGTGGCTCCTCTTGCGTTTTCAGGTTGCAATGCCACCGGCCGTCCACGAATTCTGTTTTCTGTACCCCTCGAACCGAGCATTCCCTTGACTTGCTTGTTTTAGGCCTTGGGGTGGAGTCCATATAGCCGCGTGCACCTCGAACATCAATTCGCCGATTGGTCAGGGCGACTTGCATGATGAATCACACGTTGTTTGTTTCCAAGCGCGTGCGAAGCGTTAGGCTTCCCAAACTATGCTATGGTGGCGCTTTCTCACTTGGGAAATAAAGTGAGGTGTTTCCGTTGCCTTATGTGCCCCTCCCATGGTCTGGGAGCGATCGAGCGTTTCCCTCGCGTTCCCCTGGCACTCCAGCGTCTGCCTCAACACGCGGGCTGCACCGCCGCCTGAACGAGCACGCGACTGGCGCCCGACAGGTGTATCCAGAATTATCGGTTCGGTGTTGCCATTCCAGTTGCAGCTTGTTCGTTTTAGAATTGGTTATGTTTGTTATTTGTTTGCATGCTATCATGTGTATTATGTGGCTTTCTAGAACGACGGTGTCATGTTTCACGTGGCAGTTCTAGAGCCTGCTAATCACATTTGAAGTATACTTGAATTTACTTTGACAGCTTGGGGGGACACGCGTACAACTTATGCTGGCGGTCGTGCTTCCCGTGCCTCTCCGAGAGCGACGGTCGGCGACATTGCGCCTGGCTTGGAGCGGCCTTTCGTGCAATCGGAGCCTGCGTGCAATCGAGCTTGTGTTGGCGCAGAACGTCTCGCTTACTCCGCAGACGCAACGGGCTTGTGGAGGAAACATGTGGGTTGTGATATCAGGCCAAGCGGTATTGTGCAATCGACCGCGGGCCCTCCTCGCGGAGAGGATGTTCAGGAGTAGCCGAACCGCGGCCTCAGGTTTTTTTAGCTTCAGCTTTTTGCCGACTTCTTCACTGAAAACCTGGGGTGGCGGGCAGCCTTGTGCGCTTATGCGCACGGCGTGAAAACCATCGTGGGAACGGAGGGAGTTTGACGTTAGTGTGTACTTGTCCATCTGCTTTCGAAGCTTGTTATGTGCTGAACTCGTTAGGAAGACCCCGAACCGCGGAAGCCAAGGGAGTACCCAGAAATGTAGGACATGAGTGGTAATTGGTAATGGCAGGTAGGGGAACACGTAGACATAGCAGGAGTAGTGTTCGTTTTCAGTATGGGAAGGTACGGCTGGCGATTCTGCGACCAGTACACAGACGAGCAATGCAAAGCCGTATGCGCTGAAACAGAAGGCGTTTCAGTTCTCCTATTATGGTTCTGCCCTTGCAGCTACGCGAGCTGAAGTCATGCCGTCTTCGATCGGAACGGTTAGTAAGAGCAGTTTTCAGTTGTGTGGGATTGTTTTGTTGAGCGCCAGCGAAGGCATCTTGCAACCCAGCGGGCAGAAGGCATGCGCAGATCCAGTTACAATATGGCAGGTGGTTTGGGGGAATGGTCGCATGCACTCACGTCTTCTGGAGCCCTGGCGCACGAGGAAGTGAGGGTCCCAATCGCGCCGCGTCTCGCCGAGCGCGTTCCACCACTCGCAAAGTGCCTCCTCGCAAACATCCGAAATATACAGGTCTTCCTCTATGTAATATATAGTAAATCCCCCGAGGCAGATCCAGACAATTTGCGAGTAGTTTATTTTCGAGTAGTGGAACGCGCCTGTCCAGCGTCGGACGAAATCCGAGCCGCGTGGGATTGCCTCTCAAGATCGGCCCAGGACCCCTCCAGTAGCGGGCCTCGGCCGCGGAGGTGGTGGGTCAATGTGGAGAGCAGGGCGGACAGGGTCGCAATGCCTTGACGTACGCAGTATTCTTGTATGTTAGCATTCCATACGTATAATGTGTATATACACCTACATATATATATATATATATATATATATATACACATAACGGGGGACCGGGTCCGGGGGCCCGGGGCCGGGACCTCGACCGCAAATGTGGGCTCCGGGGGGCCCGGAGGCTCGTCGGGGCTTGCCGGAGGCCTCCCCGGTCAGACAAGAGGGCCCCAGAAGCGCCCAAGACGGCCCAAGAAACTTCCAAGAGGCCTCCAAGAGGGCTCCGAGATGCTGAAGATGGCCTCCAGACGTCCAAGGACGCCCCCAAGAGGCCCCAAGAAGCCTCCAACATGCGTCCCAAGAGGGCCCCTAGACGCAAAAATTGCCCATTCCCTTCGTAAAACGTACATTTTCAACAAAGTTGCCTTTTGGGCTTTCCGACGTTACAGGACGGCCCAAGAGGCGCCCAAGACCGCCCCAAGACGGCCCAAGAAGCTTCCAAGAGGGCCCCAGGACAGCCCAAGAGGGCCCCAAGACGGCCCAAGAGGCGCCCAAGATGGCCCAAGAGGGCCCCAAGACGGGCCCAAGAGGGGGCCCAGAGGGGGACCACGAACCGCAAGCTCGAGCCTTCCGCCCCAAGAGGCCGCCAGGAGGCCCCCAGGAGGCCCCTCAAGAGGCCCCAGGAGACCCCCAAGAGGCCCAAAGGAGGCCCCGAGAAGCCCCAAATCGGCCCCCCAAATGCTTCGAACCTGCTTCCAGGAGGCCCCCGACAGGTTCAGAGGCTCCCAAGAAGCTACGTCAAACTCCCAGCGAGCGGCCGGACGAGGCCCCCCAAAAAATCCCAAGAGGGTTCCAGTATTTGTATCCTTCAGCGCTCTCTGGCCTTCTTTCCCCTGCCCCCTTCCCTGCGACTTTCGTTGACTCAAGCTCGCCTCCTCTCCATTTCCTCTCTCTGCCTCTCTATCTTTCTCTCTGTCTTCTTCTCTCTCTCTCTCTCTCTCCATCTTTTTTTTTGTTCTCTCTCTCTCTCTCTCCTTCGCTCTCTGTCTGTCTGTCTCTCTCTCTCTCTCTATCCCTCTCTTTCTCTCTCTTTCTCTTTCTTCCTTTCATATTCCGTGTCCTTGCGACCTTCTGCAGTCCCCGACGTCGCCACGGCTGGATTCGCTCGAGCGTGTCTTGTGATGTGCGGCGGTGCGAAGCCCGTCCCACTGATCAAGGCACAGGTACGAAATGATGGGTCCATCATTTCTTGCCTTCCCATGTGCGTTTTCCCAATCGATTCCTGGGCCCGAGGTCGCAAGAATTACGACGTCGGAGGTCTGGGGAGGCGGGAAGCACGACCTGGACCTCCGACGTCTTGGAAAAATCACGACGGCGGTTTCGGTCAATTTTCGGCCTCCGGGGCCCCTCGCAGGGTCCCGGGACCGTCAGAAAACGACTCAGGATGAAAAAAAACACATCCCCAGGAAGTCGTCGAGAGGTCCAGGGGCCGCGCACAGAAAGCATCACGACATCGGACGTCCAGAGAGGAGGTAGGAACACGAGGAGGAGGGAGCCCAGACCTCCTGGCGACGCAACACCAAATACAACAAAAGCTTCCCCGCGACTTCCCCCAGAGACTCTAACTACAGAAACTCCTTTCGTATTCCGGCCAGAAGCATCCAGAAACGATGTACATTAGCCCTGGCGGGGGGAGTGATGGCGATGGTGATGTTCATGATGACGACGGTGACGATCCTAGCTAGAACCTAAGCGCGCGCGAAGCGCGCGCGTGGTTCTAGTATATATATATATATATATATATATATATATATACCGAGGGACGAGGACCGGGGGCCCGGGACCGCGACCTCGAGAGCACGCATGGGGGTACCGGGGCTTCTGGGGCGTCCCCAGGAGGCCGCCAAACATATCAAGAGGGCGCACAAGCCTCGAAATGTAGCTTGAAGACGCCGACGATGGCTCCAAGAGGGCTCCCCGGAGCTCCCGAGACAGCCAAAGAGGGCCCCAAGAGCCTTCCCAAGAGGGCCCCAAGAGGCAAAAGTGGTCCCGTTCCCTTTCGGAAAACGTGCATTTTTGAGGGATTCGCCCCTTGACCTTCCAGGGGAACTAAGACGGCCCGAGGGGCCGCCAGGATCGCCCCAAGACAGCCCAAGAGGCTTCCAAGACAGCCCCAAAGGGCCCCAGGCTAGCCCAAGAGGCCCCCAAGACGGCCCAAGAGGGACCCAGGACGGCCCCAAGCAGGGGCCCAGAGAGGATGCCCTACGAACATTTTAACCCCTCCGCCCCCAGAGGTCCCAAGGAGGCCCCAAGAGGCCCCCCAAACGCCCCCAAGAAGCTCCCTAATTGGAGGCCCCCCAACAGCCCCCTGACCAGACGCCCTCAGGCACTCTCCCCGCTCCCAAAGCTTCTGGACCACTCTTCGCTTGCTGAGGCCCGAAACGGGGCCCGGGACCGTCAAGCATTTACGACGAAACACTGGGCTCATGGAAGCTCTTCGGACTTCGGGCCCATTCCAGGGACCCCACGTTGAACAAGTCACGCTAGCGAATCTCTTTGACAAGAGGCCCCCGAATGCGCTGCGAAGAGACCCCAAGAAGCATCCCTGAGAACTCTGACCCACAACCCTGGCATAGTGGTGGGATGTGCCGAAGGCCATTCGATCCATATACATATACATACGTACATGCATCTAATTAGATACATGCATACATTCATAATGCTACACACATACCGACCTACGAGGCGCCCAAGATCGCCCAAGAGGGCCCCAAGAGGGGCTCAAGAGGTGGAACACGAATCGACAGTTCAAGCCTTCCGCCCCAAAAAGGCTTCCAGGAGACCCCAAGAGGCCCCCAACAGAGCCCCAGAGGCCCCCCAGAGGCCCCCTAGATGCCCCACGAGGCCCCAAAGAGGCTTCAAAGAGGCCCCAAAAGAGGCCCCAAGGCCAACCCAAACGGCCCTCAAAAGACCTCCAAAACATACCGGTGCATAGCAAAGGACCGCCTAGGGTCCCGGACGGCGTCAGAGGCCCTTCAGATCGCTCCAAGACGGCCGAAAAGGCTCCCAAGAAAGCCCAGAGACGGCCCAGGAGGCTCCCCAGATAGTTCAAGAGGGCCTCGACAGCGCCCCAAGAAAGCCCCAAGAGCGACCCAAGAGGGCCCGAAGAGGGCGACTGAGAGGCTCCTAGGACGCCCCCTGAGGCCATCATGGCTCCCAAGAAGCCCTGTGAGGCTCCCAAGAGGTCCCCTGGAAGCCCCAATAGGACCCCCAAGGGCTCCCAGGGAAGCCCCCTGCGGGCCCCCAAGACACCTCGGTACGTCGCATTTCCCAGACAGCTTTCCGGGAACATGATTCCTTGGGCTTCCGCCCACCGCCCCAACCATGTTTCCAATAGGCCTGCCGACGAGGCCAAAATGGGGCCCCTCTTAGGAGAACCGAACCAATCATGCTCCCGGAAAGCTTCCCGGGAACATGTTTCTCTATCTCGGAGTAGGCCCGGGGGGGGGCGGGCCGCTGCTGTTCCCCCCATCGGACCCCCGCCAGGGGTTGTTGGGGGGGGTCCAGAGCTCCCGAGGCGGCCCGGGCCCTCCCCAAAACAGGCCACGACATGCTAAGGGGATCCCGAGAGGGCCCAAGACGCTCCCCAGAGGCCCCGAAGACGCCCAAGATGCCCTCAAGACAGCCGACGAGGACTCCAACGCGCTCCAGGACGCACTCGAGAGGCTCCTCAAGGCCCTGGGAGGCAAGATTCACTCATTTTCCGAGTGTTTTGGATTTTGGCGTTCTCGCTTTTCCCGCTTCCCAGCGCTCCCTCAGGGCCTTGGCCCCCCAACGCACCCCAAGAAATCATGTACCCAGAAAGCCTTCCAGGGACATGGGTTCATCATGGGCCCGCGAGTTCCCAGAGGCCCCCAGGGGGCCCCCAGGGAGCGCCCAAGAGGCCCCCCAACACACCCGAACAAACCATGTCCCCAGATAGCCTTCCGGGGACATGGTTCATCATGGGCCCGCGAGTCTCCGGAGGCTTCGAAGTACCATCATGCTACAGGAGAGCTGTCTGGGAAGTTGACTGGGAACATGACTGATCGCCGTCTCGCGGCCCTCCGCAGATCGTTTCGCGCAAAGTGCCCTCTTGGACCGACGACGGCGACGACGACGACTACGAAACGACGAAGACGAGGACGACGACGACGACGACGACGACGACGACGACGACGACGACGACGACGACGACGACGACGACGACGACGACGGCGCGCCCCAAGAGGCGACGACGACATTACGACGACGACGGCTGCACGCCCCAACAGGCTCCCCAAGACGCCCCCCAAACCCATGCTGCCAGAAGGCCCTCTGGGAGCCCGATTCATCCGGCCTCCGCCCCCCTACGCAACAATTTTCCCGGAAGCCTTTCGGAATGCGGGTTGGCATGCGTGAGTTGTGGTCCATTACTTCATTGGAGCA